GTTACTTCCTGAGGCCAGAGATCAGCAGAATTCAATATGGATAATCCTAACCACACTGAGTTAAGCTTTTTGAAAAAGTTTAAAAAAATAAATTCATTAGAATAAACATAAACTAAGTTTGACAGTATGAGGTGTATCTAGGTTTTGGAGCAAAGTAAATTGCTGTATGGTTTGGATTGTTAACAGTCACTTTGAAAACAATTTGGCCATATCTACTAAAGTTGATGATGCACCCTCTGGGCAGTTTCACTCTGCAGTGTATATAGAGAAGCTCTCCTTGGCCAGGTACACCAAGACTTGTAAACAAGTGTGATCATCAAAGTACAGTTATTAATACATACTGAAAGCATTTGTGAAAGACTGCTAGCCATCTACCACAATCTGCTACTACCTTCCAAAGTTATGGGACTCTAGGACAAATGGCCAGACTACATTTCCCAGCTGTGCTCCTATTCTGCTCCTCTGTAGTAGTGAAGCAGTGAGCCAACATCCCTCATGCAGAATGTGAGTGGAGGGGCTGGCGCCATGGCTCACTTTGTTAATCCTCCACCTGCAGTGCTGGCTGGCATCCCATATGGGCACCAGGTTCTAGTCTTGGTTGCTCCTCTTCCAGTCCAGCTTTCTGCTGTGGCCCAGGAGGGCAGTGGAGGATGGCCCAAGTGTTTGGGCTCCTGCACCCACATGGGAGACTGGGAAGAAGCACCTGGCTCCTGGCTTCAGATTGACGAAGTGCCGGCTATAGCAGCCATTTGGGAGTGAACCAATGGAAGGAAGGCCTTCCTCTCTGTCTCTCTCACTGTCTATAACTACCAGTCAAAAGAAAAAAAAAAAAAAGAATGTGAGTGGAAGTGAAGTGTGTCACTTGCAGACTAGAGCCTTAAGGGTGAGTGTGCACCTCCATGCTTTTGTTTCCTTTCATCTGGCTAGATACAGAGGAAGATGGCTCACAAGAATGCAGGGACCCAAACACTTGGGCCATTTTCTGCTGCTTTTTTCAGACCATTAGCAAGGAGTTGGATCAGAAGTAGAGAAGCTCGAATTCTAACCAGCACTCATATGGGATGCCAACATTGCAGGCAGTGATTTACCTCCTAAGCAACAATCCAGGCCCCAAAATCAATGGTCAGTTTTGAAATAAGAAAATTACACCATTTAATTTACTTTTTTTCAAAATATGAAGGTACCATCACAAATAGCAAATGAGTAAATAAATTACAGTATCTAGAAAATTATGTAGGAGATGGCTTATTAATCTAATTAAAGAGGAAATGAAAGGAATTTATTATTAAATGTAGAGAAATATACTTTCAAATTATAAATGTAAAGTTGAATGTACACAACTTAGGTTCAAATATTTTTAATTGTACCTAAATTTGTATAGTATAACATGCAAAAATGACACTTAGATTCTTTTAGCTAGTAAAAATAAAAAGATGATAAAAATAACAGCTAATAGTTATTCTATACTAAAGAATATTTCCAACACTTTGTGTTTTCAGGAAAAAATGGGAATGGTTCTATTATCTTAACTTTAAAGAAAATGAAACTGAAGCCTAAAGAAACTAAGTAACTGGTTTCCCAAGGACATTAAATCATAAAGTGGTGAAGTCCTGGACTAGGCATGAACTGAATGAAACCTGTTTATTTTCCAAATTCAATGTTCTGTATAGTTCCTATATCCTTTAAAAGGATCCTAACATCAAACTATAATTTCTGATAAAACCTGTGCAATTGCTGCAGATGAGCATTGCTCCAAGCCAAATATTCTATTACCCCCTAGACCAGAGTTTGATGAGACCAAGTTGATTAAAGTACACTGAAAATATGAAGCATAAAATTCTGTTAGTGGATATTCTATTCTCTAACTCTAGTGGGGCTCTTAATAAATTGACAACTGAGAAAAAATGATTGAAATCTCTGTAATGTTGTCAGCACATGAAAAATTTATTTATCTCTAAATTTCATACAAAAAAGGAATAGCACAAAACCTAAATGACACTTACAGTTAATGACTTTGATTTTACTCAGTAATACCTTTTCATTTTGGAAGAAATATTATAATTCAGGTTATTCTACAATGTGTTCAGCTTAGATTTACAGAGTCATCACCTTTTATTCTATCTTATAAATACTGATGATGATTAACTCAGAGAAGGGCCAGTGCTGTGTTGTAGTAGGTTAAGATGCAACCTGCATGGCAGCATCCCATATAGGTGCTGGTTCACAGCCCATTTGTTCCACTTCCAATGCAGCTCCCTGCTACAGTGCCTCATCAGAAGATGAACCAAATGCTTGGGCTTCTGCATTTACATGGGAGACCTGGATAGGACTCTTGGCTCCTAGCTACAGCCTGGCCAGTGCTGGAAATTGTGACCATTCAGGGAAGGAACTAGTGAATGGAAGACCTGTCTCTCCTTCTGTCTCTGTAACTTTGGTTTTCAAGCAATAAATCAAGAAAATATTTTGGGATGGCATTGTGTTGAAGCAGGCAAAGCCACAGCCTGCTACTTCAGCATCTAATATGGGTGCAGGTTCAGATCCCAGTATCTCTGCTTCTGATCGAAGTCCCTGCTAATGGCCTCAGAAAGTTGTAGAGGATGTCTCAAGTGCTTGGGCCCCTGTCACCCACAAGGGCTACCTGGAAGAAAATCCTGGCTTCCATCTAGATGAGTCCCAGCCATTATGGCCATTTAGGGAGTGAACCAGTTGAAGGATGGTTTCTCTCTCTTTGTCTCTTTCTCTCCCCCTCTTTCCCTCTCCAACCTTGCTTTTCAAATAATTAAGTAAACTTTTAAGGAAGAAGAGAGGAATACTAAAATCTTCAATGTTGATAAAAATTAACAACCCTAATATGTTCATTTGAAATGCATCTGGGCTGGACATTTGACCTGGTTATGATGATGTAGGTAAAGACACCCATCCCTCTTCTGAGTATTTGCTTTTTCTCTGAATTCTAGCTCCTGACTCCATGGTCTTGATAACACAGCTCTTGGGGTCTGTAGGGTTGGCTAAGTAATCAAATTCCTGCCACCAATGTGGGAAGCCAGGATTAAATTCCTAGCCTCTGGCTTCAGGGCCTCCTGGCCCAGAAGCATTTCAGACATTTGGAGAATTAAATTTCTCTACCTCTCAGATAGATTTCTAAACATTAAGAAGTAAAATCTATCTGGGTGAGATATATTATATACTTACTATCCATAGTTTTATTTCACTGACACATGAGGAAGTGAATGTTTCTATGTTGAAAAGTCATTTTGGTTTCTAGAGAATTTAAAATGAAATGATTGTTCCATGATAGCTATTAAACATTGTTTGGCAAAGATCAGCCCAGTTAAATAAGAAATTTGTGAAATCAGTCACATATCAGTGTGCACATTTGACTGCTTGAGCCAAGTTTTGCTTTAGAAGACTTTTAAACATAACAATCCAAAGGAAAACTACAAAGATGATAAAAATACAGGCTTTTGAAAAATATATTTTTCTTAAAATGCAAAACTGTCATGATGGTATAAACCAGGAAGATGTAAATACACCACTGAGAACCAAAAGCAAATGGAACTATCTTGTTTGGTGATTTGAAGTGTTAAGAGAAATCCTTTACTTTTTCTGCAGAGAAGATAAACTGTTATAATATACCATGGACAAGTCATTTGCTCTAATGAAAACAAAATGAATACACACCTGCATACATACATATAAATCTTTTATTGTGGGAAATAAGGTTTAGGAGATTCCAAGATGGTTGATTAGAGAGCAAAGCACTGCATTAGGCTAGGGATAAATAGAAAAAAAAAAAGTATAGGTAATGCACTCTCAGTGGAGATGAGAGAGAAAATCACATTGGAAACTATAAAAGGTAGAGGACTGCCATAGACCTGTGTAGAAGATATGGACATGCAGCATGAACAAGGACACAACACACAGATGCTGCAGCCAAAGTCAGAGAGGTGGTAAGACAACCATGAAGAACTCTGAGGCAACCCGAGTAAGGTATAAAACAGGTTCTGGGGATCAAGCTGCATCAGTGGAGCTGTCTCAGGGAATATGCGTTTTTCTGGTCACTGGACAAGCTGGCAGATCAAGAGTAGAAACTCTGCACCCAGAGATTGTAGCAGACTTGTGTGCTGAAACTGTGTGGACTCTGTGGTTACATGAGACAGTGCAAGGTATAGCTGAGTCTCTGGATCAATCACTGGGTGTGGATTCACATACTCAGACCTCCTTGGTTTCCTGGGGCTGGTCATTGCAGTGGGCACTGCACTCTTAGTGAGGACTGCATAGGTCATTCATGTGGCTCATACAGTGATGTTGATGAATCTTGAACCCACTGGGGAATAACACTGCATTGCTCAGCTTGGAGAGGAGGCATGGGGGTGATCATACCAACAGAGGTGACCATTTCCCCCTCTGTTAAAAGGAGGTCATCTATGGTGCCCAACTTGGTTGTAACCCTGAATACTTGTTGCATCCTGGAGCACTGAACAGAGCTCTCTGGTCACATCCAACATTCAACTCTTGCTATTTATTTAAAGTGCAGATATTCCAAGCCACAAAAGCATATAGTTCAAAGATAAAAGCCATTAAAAGAAAAAAACAACTAACTCTACAAATGCCTAAAAATAAACACAGAAATTCAAGAAACAAGAATAAAAATGCATTATGAGTACCCCAAAGGAACATAACATTTCAACATTAGACCGTGAAGATAAGAGATTAAAAAATCCTGGAAATGAAATTCAAAAGATTAACCACAGCATTATTAAAAAGCAATCAATGACATGAAGGAAAATCATCCCAATGAAATTGAGATTTTATAAGCAAACCAAAATGAAATATTAGAAATGAAAAATAGATCAAATAAAAATGCAGGGGGAAGCCTTGATTACAGACGTGATGAGGCAGAATAAAGATTATCTGAACTACAGGACAGACCTTTGGATATCTTTCAGTTGGACAAAAAAAAAAAAAAAAAAAAAAAAAAAAAAAAAAAAAAGCCCAGAAGAAAAAAATTAGAAAACTTGAAAACAATGTTGGAGATTTATGTGATACTATTATTGTACCCAACATATTGGTCTTGAAGGCATGGAAAGAGAAAATAGATTAGTAAATCTATTTACTGAAATACATAGAGAAAAATTGCCCAATTTGGAGAAAGAATGGACTGTCCAAATCCAGGAACCACATATAACTCCTAATGGACATAACCAATAAAAAAGATATTCACAGTGAAAAATTGTAGTCAAACTTTCAATGGTAAAACATAAAAGATTCTAAAATGTACACAAAAACCATCAAATTACTTTCAGAGGATCTCCAATTAGACTTACAATGGACTTCTCATAAGAAACCCTGTAGGCAAGGAGAGAATGGCAGGTTATAGTCTAAGTCTTAAGAGAACAACACTGTCAATCCAGAATGCTGCACCCTGCAAATCTCTTATTTAAGAATGACAGTGAAATGAAGACCATTCATAATTGAACTAGGAAGAATTTTCAGTCTACTACATTAAGAAACACAGAAAGTCATCATGAATGAGAGGGGCTGGCACAGTATTGTAGCATAATGTAGCACTGTATTGTAGATAATGCCACTACCTACAGCACCAACATCCCATATGGACACTGGCTCAAGTCCTGACTGCTGCAATTCTGATCCAGCTCCCTGCTAATATGCCTAGAAAAGCAGCTGAAGATGGCCTAAGTCCTTGGGCCCCTGCACACATATGAGAGACCTGAAATAAGCTCCAGACTCCTGGTTTCAGATTGGTCCAGCTACAACCATTGTAGCCATGTGGGGAGTATACCAGTGGATTGAAGACCCCCCTCTCTCTCTCTGGCCTCTGCCTCTACCTCTCCATAACTCTGCTTTTCAAATAAATAAATATTTAAAAAATGTGAAAGCTTTATGGCAGCGCCGCGGCTCAATAGGCTAATCCTCCACCTAGCGGCAGTGGCACACTGGGTTCTAGTCCCAGTCAGGGCGCCGGATTCTATCCCGGTTGCCCCTCTTCCAGGCCAGCTCTCTGCTGTGGCCAGGGAGTACTTACATGCACCCCATGGGAGACCAAGATAAGCACCTGGTTCCTGCCTTTGGATCAGCATGGTGTGCCGGCCGCAGCATGCTGGCCATGGCGACCATTGGAGGGTGACCCAACGGCAAAGGAAGACATTTCTCTCTGTCTCTCTCTCTCTCACTGTCCACTCTGCCTGTAAAAAAAAAAAAAAGTGAAAGCAAAAAATACTTCAACAAAAGAACAAAAGTTATCCAATGTAAACAATAGGAAAATTTATGAAACAATCACAGGGCAAAGTCACTTTGAATGTAAATGGCTTCAACTCTCCAGTTAAAAGGTACAGACTGGCTGAATGGATTAAAAACAAAATTCATCTGCTTGCTGCCTGCAAGAAACACATCTCAGGAACAAAGATGCATGCAAACTGAAAGTGAAAGGATAAGAAAAGATTCTCTATGCTAATGGAACACAGGAAAGGGTAGATGCAGAAATGCTAATAGCAAAGAAAAGAGACTTTCAACAAAAACTATTAAGAGACAAAGAATGGCACTATATAATGATTAAGGGATCAATTCAACAGGAAGATGTGAGTATAAATAAATGTATATGCACAGAATGCTTAGGGTCCTGGCTATTTAAAAGAAATGTTGATGTTAAAAGAAATGTTAAAGATACAAAGAGAAACATAGACTCCAATAAAATAGTAATGGGGGACTTCACAACCCAAATCATTAATGAACAGATCCACAAGACAAATAATTAACAAGAACAAAACTAATTCAAACTATGGACCAATTGGACCTAACTGCTATCTACAGAACTTTTCAACCCATCATTGCAGAATATGCATTCTTTTCAGCAGTGCACGGAACTTTCTTAATAGACTATATGGTCATCCATAAAGCAAGTCTCAGCAAATTTAAAAAAAAGTGAAAATCAAATCATGCACCTTCTCTGACAAAAATGGAATGAAGCTAGAAATCAACAACTCAAGAATCTCTAGATCATATGCAACCACAGGGAGACTGAACAACATGCTCCTCAATGAACAGTAGGTCATAGAAGAAATCAAAACAGTTCTTGAAATGAATGAAGATGATAATAAATCACATCAAAACTTATGGGATAATACAAAAGCAGTGTTAAGAGGGAAGTTTAGAGCAACTGGTGCCTACTGAAGAAATTGGAAATGTGTTAAACAAATGAGCTATTAATGAATCTCAAGGACCAAGAAAAACAACAGCCCAAACTGCAAATTACTTACAAAAGATCAGTAAAATGAAGAGCTGGTTTTTTGAACAAACAAAATCCATTCATTATTGGCACAACTGATCAACAAAAAAAAAAGGAGAAGGCCTAAATAAGTAAAATCAGAGACAAAAACAAGATCTACCAACAGATACCAGAGAAATAAAGAGAATCACCAGAAAGTGTTACAAAGTTCTGTATGTCAAAAATTGGGAAATGCAGAAGAAATGGATAGATTCCTGGACACAATCTACCAATATTGAGTCATGAAGCCATCCCCTGTCACTGAATCCCAATTCACTCTCACACCCTATTATTCTCCACCCAAATCCCTGCATTCAACCACTGGTTTGGTACAAGCAAACTTGAAGATCCTGTATAAAGGAATTCATCTCCAACTTTTAACACCACCCCCACCCATAGCCAGCCTAAGATATAAAAATGCCCAAATCCTGAAGTCTTGACCCTCAAGCCATGTATTTATTCTATGTTTACACTGGCAACTGATCAACCACTATGAGTTAATTTTCTTTGAATAAATTCAGACTTGCTGTGCATTTGTATCCAGTCTCCTTTCTGTTTCTTCTGCCTTTTCCTTATAGGAGTACCCCTAACATCCTTGTATAAAGCCAGCATCATGATTCCTGAACCAGAAAAAGATAATAGAGAAAGAACTACACACCAATATCTCTGATGAACACAGATGCAGATATCCTCAACAAAATACTAGCTAATTGAAACCAACAACACATCAGAAAAGATCATTCACCTGGAACAAGTGGTATTTATCACTATATGCAGAGATGGTTCCACATTTCCAAATCATTAAATGTGATTCTTCCCATTGCAAACTGAGGAACAAAAGTGATATGATTATCTCAGTTGATTCAGAGAAAGCATTTGAAAAAATACAATACCCTTTGTTGGTAAAAATCTTTAAAGTGAGTATAAAAGGAGCATTTCTCAACACAATCAAGGCAACTTATGATAAACCCATGGCCACCTGTGTGAATTCTCTGCAGTATTGTAAGTTGTGACTTCTGGCCAAAGGTTTTCCCACAGTCATTACACTCATGTTTCTCCCTTATGTGAATTCTCTGACAAGGTGGGATTTTCACAGAAAGAATTTTCTACAGGGAATGCATACATAAGGCATCTCTTCTGTGTGAATTCTCTTATAGATTATGAGCTGTGACTTATATCTGAAGACTCTTTCACAGTTATTACATTCATAAGGATTCTACCCTGAGTGAATTCTCTGATGTATTATGAGTTGTGACTTTGAGCCAAAGGCTTTTCCACAGACATTACATTCATAAGGTTTCTCCCCTGTGTGAATTCTCTGATGGACCTTGAGATGTGACTTTTGCCCAAAGGCTTTTCTACAGTCTTTACATTCATAAGGTTTCTCCCCTGTGTGAATTCTCTGATGGATCATGAGATGTGATTTAAGGCTGAAGGCTTTTCCACAGTCATTACACTCATAAGGTTTCTCCCCTGTGTGAATTCTTTGATGAATTATGAGATGTGACTTCTGGGCAAAGGCTTTTCCACAGGCATTGCATTCATAAGATTTCTCTCCTGTGTGAATTTTCTGATGGATTACAAGATGTGACTTCTTGGAAAAGGCTTTTCCACAGTCATTGCATTTATAAGGTTTCTCCCCTGTGTGAATTCTCTGATGGGCTATGAGTTCTGACTTATGGCTGAAGACTTTTCCACAGTCATTACATTCATAAGGTTTCTCTCCTGTGTGAATTCTCTGATGACTTATGAGATTTGACTTCTGGCCAAAAGCTTTTCCACAGTCATTACATTCATAAGGTTTCTCCCCTGTGTGAATTCTCTGATGTATTATGAGTTGTGACTTTGAGCCAAAGGCTTTTCCACAGTCATTACATTTATAAGGTTTCTCTCCTGTGTGAATTCTCTGATGGGTCATGAGTTGTGACTTATAGCCAAAGACTTTTCTACAGTCCTTACATTCATAAGGTTTCTCTGCCATGTGAATTTTCTGATGTGACATGAGTTGTGACTTACGGGCGAAGGCTTTTCCACAGGCATTGCATTCATAAGGTTTCTCTCCTGTGTGTATCCTCTGATGGGTTATGAGTAGTGACTTATAGCCAAAGACTTTTCCACAGTCCTTACATTCATAAGGTTTCTCTCCTGTGTGAATTCTCTGATGTTTGATGAGGTCTGACTTCAAGCCAAAAGCTATCCCACAGTCATTACATTCATAAGCTTTGTCCCGTGTGTGAATTCTCTGATGCACTCTGAGATATGACTTCTGGCCGAAGGCTTTTCCACAGCCATTGCATTCATAAGGTTTCTCTCCTGTGTGAATTCTCTGATGACTTATGAGATGTGACTTACGGTTGAAGGTTTTTCCACAGTCATTACATTCATAAGGTTTCTCCCCTGTGTGAATTCTCTGATGTTCGATGAGTGCTGACATCCAGCCAAAGGCTTTTCCACAGGCATTACATTCATAAGGTTTCTCTCCTGTGTGAATTCTCTGATGTTTCATGAGTGCTGACTTAGAGCCAAAGGCTTTGTCACAGTCATTACATTCATAAGGTTTCTCTGCCATGTGAATTTTCTGATGTGACATGAGTTGTGACTTACGGGCGAAGGCTTTTCCACAGGCATTGCATTCATAAGGTTTCTCTCCTGTGTGTATCCTCTGATGGGTTATGAGTAGTGACTTATAGCCAAAGACTTTTCCACAGTCCTTACATTCATAAGGTTTCTCTCCTGTGTGAATTCTCTGATGCACTGTGAGATGTGACTTTTGGCCAAAAGCTTTTCCACAGACATTACATTCATATGGTTTCTCTCCTGTGTGAATTCTCTGATGTTTCATGAGTGCTGACTTAGAGCCAAAGGCTTTGCCACAGTCATTACATTCATAAGGTTTCTCTGCCATGTTATTAAATTTTTTTTCTTGAATTTTCTTGTTGGTCCTAATTATGTCATCACTTTTCATGGCAACTGAAATGAGAAAAAAATTCACTGAATCACATATAAGTGCTTTCTCCTGAAATACTGATATAAAGGGAATGAAGTTGCTTGTTATCAAAGTGGCATAAGATTTTAACATAATCAGTAAAAGACACTTATTTATACCTATTATATGGTTCTTGGTTGTACCAATAGATTTCCCAATGTTCAATCATGATTTATCCTGTTTACTACTTGAATTTTATTCAAGTATGGCAGAACGGCTTTCCTTGTTAGATTTGTTAATTCACTGCTTAGGGTGCCTGCATCTCAAAATAGTGCCAGTTTGAGCTCTGGTTACTGTGATTCCAATAAATCTCTAGTGTATGTAAATTAGAAGGCAGCAAATAATGATTCATGTGCTTGGGACCCTGTGATATGTCAGGGAAGACTAGATGAAATTCCAGCCTTTTGGCTTCAGACTAGTCAGATCTAACTGTTATAGGCATTGGGGGCTTGAGCTACCAAATGATCTCTTTCTCTCTTTCTCCTCTCATTGTCACTGTCTTTAACAATGATGACAGTACTATAAGATGTTAAAGAATGGACAAATATTTAGTCAGTATATTCCCCCATTGCCTAGCTACCAGTTTTTCCCGGTCCTTCTTCTTTAGTTTTTATTATTATTAAAATTTTATGTTTTGTGCTTCTCTGGTATTTCAACCATAAATATGGGAATGTTTTACTGGATCAGTTACTTGCACATGAAGAAGAGTGAAATGTGTCTGACTTTCAAACAGGATCAAATTTAAGAGACAAGATTTGTGCCGGCGTCGCAGCTCACTAGGCTAATCCTCCACCTAGCAGCACCAGCACATCGGGTTCTAGTCCCGGTTGGGGTGCCAGATTCTGTCCCAGTTGCCCCTCTTCCAGGCCAGCTCTCTGCTGTGCCCAGGGAGTGCAGTGGAGGATGGCCCAAGTGCTTGGGCCCTGAACCCCATGGGAGACCAGGATAAGTACCTGGCTCCTGCCATCGGATCAGCACAGTGCACCGGCCACAGCACACTGGCCGTGGTGGCCATTGGAGGGTGAACCAATGGGAGAGGAAGACCTTTCTCTCTGTCTCCCTCTCTCACTGCCCACTCTGCCTGTCAAAAAATAAATAAAAAAAAAAAAAGAGACAAGATTTAAATCTATAGTTGTCTCATGTTCAGTCTTCCCAGGTAAACAGCATTTGAAGGAATTTTCAAATGAGAAACTCTGCATTTATCTGCACTCTATGACAGCTTCCCCATATTCCTAAGGAAATTTAACATCTTCAGCTTCTCAGAACGATAACAGGTACAGAAACATCACAATAAACCACCTTGGGTATACACTCCCTAAGGGTTTAAAGAATTTAATTTTGCAACCTAGAATGTGTTTACCTTCTTTGAAAAATGTTTTGTAGCTGATTCTTAAATCACCAGCCCTGGGTATCGCTCTTCAGTTTTTTACATAAACACACTTATGTGATAATTTGAGTCTCTGGAGGCTTTTTATCAGCTGTCTCTTATTTTCAAGAAAATCTTCATTTCCTATGCCTTTCTTATCTTTTTTGCTTGAGTCAGAATTCATACTTCAAACCTTGCTCCCAAATCTGAGACATTCAACATGAAACAATGAGCTCATTTGACCTTGGGATTCAGAATTGCAAGACTTTCTTGGTTGAGTTTAGGATCAGTTATTTTCATTTTTCTATATAAGTGCATGCTTAGCTTCAGGATTTCTGATGTCACTGCACAGAGGCTTACTTCTGAACATCTCTTAGCATTTATTTATGTATTTATATGCTTGAGAGTCAGACACAGAATTAGATAGAAGGGAGAATGAAACAGAAGATTGCCAGCCATAGGCTTCCTCCTCCAATGTTTCTAGCAACCCATTTTTTCTTATTTTATGAGAAAGGCACTGAGAAAGAAAAGAGAGAGAGTTCACATTCATTGGTTCAGTCATGAGATCCTTAAAATAGCAAGTTCTGTGCCTCATCAAAACCATGAGTGGGGACTCAATCTGAAACAAGTTTCTATAACTTGCCAAACTGACAAGAACTGAAGAATAAATGCATGAAAGAAACATATCAAATACAGAGAAGGGCAATGTATCTAACCTAGAAAAAAATCTTTAGTAACATCAGAAAAGGATTGGAATTTTATTAAGTCAAAGAACAACTTCATCAAGAACAAAAGAGTTAGAGATATAATGGCTTCCCTAGAAAACTCTAGAATCCATTGTCTGATGCAAAAAAAGCCAGCTTTCATCAGGAATAACACTTGGGAGAAATTCATAGAAAGAGCCTCAGTCAACATTTGCTGCAGTCTTTATGCCTTGGCCTCCTTCATCATTATGTACATACTGACCTGGAAGGCTCTGATTTAGGCACTCATTCACCATCCATGGCTCTGCTTCTTGCTCCAACTTAAAGATCAAATCAGGTTTGGTAATGCAGTTCCCTATTAATGGAAACAATGTAAGCTTTTGTGAAATCATTATCTTGAGTTATTTAAAGGACTACAGGTTATTCCAGGAACTATGCAACAAATGTTCCAATTTGAGTCCTTTCCTAGATGGTAGACATTCAGATTATTCATGGACTCAAATTCTTTACCTGCCCACCATTAAACTTTATAAAGTGTTCACTTCTTTTTCAAACAGCAATAACATTTTATCACTGGGCATATTATAGGTGTCACTCACCCAAGGAGAGCAGGCTGCTGTAGGTCTCCAACATCACATCCCTGTACAGAATTTTCTGAGCTTTGTTCATGTTCTGCCATTCCTCCCAGGTAAAGTAAACAGCCAGGTCTTCAAATGTTAGCATCACCTGTAATAGAACACTTCTGGTCAACATATTAACTCTGTCACAAAATAAACACTGACCATTTTTATTTTATACATAGGAATGAAGGAAGAAAGAAGGATGTAGTTTCATTTTAGACTTGTTGAGCATTTGGACAACCACACAGAAGCTTTCAGCAGGGAGTCAAACCTATGGTCTAAAGATTGTGAAAAATGCCCCAACTGGAAGAAAACAGGAGTTTCAGGTCACAAAGGGCCACATATGTCAAGGGGAATTGCACAGCAGGCTGAAAGGAAGACAATATTGACTCTTGAATGAGCTATGTTAAGGTGAAGAATGTATTCAGGTGAAAAGACAAGAAACCATCAGTGGAGCTATGTTGGGAATAACCAGAGAAGAATTTCCAGAAAAACACCATGCAAAGTCACTTCAAATATGGCAGAAAAAAATATTTTAAAAAAGAGGGCAGGCATCCATCTTGGTGTTTATGATGCCAGCTAAGATACCCTACTTCTACTTCAAAGTGCCTAGGTTCAAATTCCAGTGCCAGTTCCAGTTTCCAACTCCCAGCTAATGCTGGAGAAGCACTAGTGATGCCACCAATGAGAAAAAGCTAGACTCCATTCCTGACTTCTGGCTTAAGTCCTGCCCAACCTTTGCTCGGTATGGCTATTTTTATAGTGAATAAGTACACGGGAGTAATCTCTTTTGTTCTCTCTCTGTCCATCAACTTCTTTCTCAATCAAGCTCATAAATATTTCTAAATAAGAGAAGATTCAAGTAAGACAAAGAATAGAAAATAGTTTTTGACTTTGACTATGCTTATTCTACTAACATACATTTGAAGAACTGAGATAACATTATATCAAATTAAAGTGAAAACAATGGAATTAATTGCCCAAAAACAGAACCTGGGAAAGTGTGTAGTATAACCTGCATTTGTGACCAATAGAAATACATAGAGATTTGTTTAAGAACTTGCAATAGGCACCAGTATTATGGTGCAGCCAGTTAAGCTTCCAACTGCAATGGCGGCATCTCACGTGAAGACTATTTGAGTCCAGAGTACTCCACTTTAATCCAGATCTCTGCTAAAGTTCCTGAAAGAGCAGTGAAAGATTGCTTAAGTATTTGGACCCCTTCAATGAATATAGAGACTAAGATTGCACTCCAGGCACCTGGCTTTGGTCTGACCCAGTCCCAGCCATTGTGGTCATTTGGGGAATGAACCAGTAGATGGAGGGTCTCTTTCTCTCTGCCCATCTCTCCCAATCTCTGTAGCTCTGTCTTTTGAATAAATAAATCCTAAAAAATAAAAGAACCTATAGGAGATTCTTTTCCCCACACATTCGTGATCCTATCCCTGAATCAAATTCAGCTTCTCAAAACTATTAAGGACTGAAAACTGATTTGTGTTTTTTAGTAATAGGTAACTCTTAACCTTGCAGAATGCTAAGTGTTTATTTCCAGGGACACATGAAAGCACTGCTCACTACATCATCTTTGTTGTTTCAGACATCATGACCAAAAAATTTAGCATATTGTACTCAAAGTTTCAACTCAAAACATGTAACAAATGTATATTTTGCTAAGGCAACAGAAAGACCAGAGGCCAAATAGCCATATCTTAGATGATTGTAATATTTCAGAATCATAGCAAATTCATCATTCATCTTGTTTGTGTACATTCTCTGAGAATAAATTTTATGCTTATTTTTCCATTTTAATTAATAAACTATAATAATAATAATCCTCCTAAAATGAAAACTGACAACAAGCTGAGCAATAATTAAGAAAACCACTTACAGGGGATGTAATAATTTTATTTAGTTTTGGAAATATGTGAAGGTGCCAAGAATCATATCTGGAAGAGAAGACAAATGGAAGGAGTTAAAAGAAAACTTATCAGGTTTCCTTCTACATTGCACTGAGGAAAAAAAAAAGAATGTAATACAATGAACAAAGAATAATGAATATATTAACCTAGGAAACATCAGCTTCGCTGTGGAGAAATATTTAAACAAGAAAATATATAAAAAAGCACATTCACTTCTATTAAGTAGTAGAGATTGAATAATTATCATTGGCTTAATGAAAGCATTGTCTACAAATTTATAAAATAATAATGTAATATTGAGATAGTAAAATTTAAGGGTGATTGTTCAAATAAATGAGCTTATTAAAGAGATAAACATTATACTTCACTAAATTTTACACTGAAGATACTTATTTTTTTATATTTTATTTTATTTTATTTTATTTTATTTCTTGACAGGCAGAGTGGACAGTGAGAGAGAGAGAGAGAGAAAGGTCTTCCTCTCCCATTGGTTCACCCTCCAATGGCCGTCACAGCTAGTGCGCTGCAGCTGGCACACCGCACTGATCCGATGGCAGGAGCCAGGTACTTATCCTGGTCTCCCATGGGGTGCAGGGCCCAAGGACTTGGGCCATCCTCCACTTGTCCCTGGCCACAGCAGAGAGCTGGCCTGGAAGAGGGGCAACCGGGACAGAATCTGGCACCCTGACCGGGACTAGAACCCAGTGTGCCAGTGCCGCAAGGCAGAGGATTAGCCTAGTGAGCTGTGGTGCCGGCCAAGACACTTATTTTTGAATTACCATTTTTCTATTAATGCAAAAGTATCACACAGGACTCCATATCTGTGTGTACTTTAGAACACTTTTTATTTTTTAGACCTGAAATTCTATAGAAAGCATGCAATTTACAGATTCAGATTTTTTTGGGCAAAATTGCATTGGAACAAATTTACATAATGTATATTTAATATATATATTTAATTTAACTTACTTTACCAGTAATGATTCCAAATGAAACCATTCCTGGTATCCATCCCTTTACAAGACTCTGGATTTCATTTTTCATTTGTTTAACCCCCCAGGATATCAGCAAATCTGATACAAACATATAGTTTGTAAAGTATTTGCCTTCTCAGATTTTCCTTATCTTCTGGAAGATAGGGTGTTACCAAGATTTATCACAAACTACCAGACCTTTAAATGAAACCATCTCTAAGGCATGAGTATTAATCAGTACCTCAGATCAGTTCATCATTTCTGACCCCAAGCTGATGATAGGAACTGCCCAGATGAGCCCATCCCAAAATATTGAATTAGAATTATAAATCAAATGGCTATTTGTTAAACCATTGTATTTTCTGATTTGTCCTACATCAAATGCTGATACACCCTGGTGAGCAGGGAAGAAAGTTGCATTACATGCAAAATAAAATTAATAGACCTTCACAATCTCATGCAGAAGTTTCCATAAACATGAGACCTGCACTGCCACATGGCAAGTAAAGCTGCCACCTGGAATGCAAGCAACCCCATTGTTTGTATTCTGGCTGTTCTGCGTTTGATCCAACTCCCTTCTAGTGGCCTGAGAAAAGCACTAGAAGAAGGCCCAAGTACTTGGGTAAATGCTGCTAATATAGGAGACCCAGATGAAGCTCTTGGCCTCAGCCTGTCCCAGCCCTGCCCATTGCAGCAATCTCAGGGAGTGACTCAGCAGATGGAAGATTAGTGTGTCTCCCTCTCTCATATACTTTTAAATAATTTTTAAAAATCTTACATGATCTGTGCCTGTCAATTGTATCTTAGCAAAGCTGCTGATACTAAAAAATCTAGTCCTGGGAAATCACAAATTCATTGGAGATCAAAAGATAATGTTTCACATTTCTGCTTATATGTGGTCATATTCTTTTTGTTTATATTTTAAGAAACTTATTAGCATATGAAATCTGATTTAGTATAATTTTACTATTCAGAAAATAGAAAAAAGCTCACAGTAATTTTCTGAAGCTGCATGTATACTAAATATTGGATAAAACTTTCAAGAAGAAATTATTGACACTGAGTGGGAAATTTTGATATGCTTTTTGAAGTCACACAATACATACATAACATCAGGATCAAAGGGAAAGTCATGCTCAGGGCAATCTTCTAAAGCAATACTGGTGACAGTTTCTGAAATTAATCTGAAAAATAATGTGTTTTTTAATGAAGTGTTGTCGCTCCCCCTCTTCGTGGAGGAACGACACAGGACCCTGCGCTGTTCTTTTGTCTGCTCGGCCCTTCCCGGGTTTGCTGCTGGTTCTTCCCGGGTTGGCTACCGACCCTTCCACCTCCGTGGAAGGACGGTTCCCCCTGCCACATTCCCCACTTCCGCGGGGGAGCGGCATACCGCCGGCCAGCTCTCTCGGGGACTGCACAGGTGTTCCTTCAGATAGATGTTCCCCTTAGATGTTCCTGGTGCATGTTGTCTCTCTCCTCCTTTATAGTCCTCTTCCACCAATGCCAACTCTGCTACCCACACGCCGAGTATGCTGCTCTCCTCCAATCAGGAGCAGGTCCTATAGTTTATTGGTTGAACTGGAGGCAGCTATGTAGAAGTTGTTACTCCCTTCTCAGCGCCATATTGTGGGAAAGCAGATGTATAGAATAAGTCTTAATTCCAGTAACAGTCTAGTCCAAGTTGCTCCCAGTTGCTCCCCACAAGTGTGGCAAAATAGAAATCACCATCCAAAAGTTAGGATGCCAGGTATCTACAAATCATGTGACTCAAACCACTTATCTCCTGAAATGTAATTTCATCATTTTACATGCAGAGACCCTCACAGATGTTCCTTGAGCTACCAGGAAGAATTACTGAGGTACAGGGGGCAGCAGCATAATTCAAGATACCAAGTGTAGGGCAGACTAGGTTTCACAGACCTCCATTTCTGGAAATCATGAGTGTGGAATGAAGTTTGGTTCACTCCTCAAATGGCCATCACAGCCAGCACTGTGTTGCTCTGAAGCCAGAAGCCAGGTGTTTCATCCTGGTCTCCCATGCAGGTGTAGGTGCCCAACCACTTGGACCATTCTCCACTGCCCTCCTGGGTGACAGCAGAGAGCTGGACTGGAAGAGGAGCAACCAGGACTAGAACCTGACACCCATATGAGATGCCGGCACTGCAGGTGGAGGATTAACCAAGTGAGCCATGGTGCTGGCCCCCTGGGCTTTCATAACTTATGGATGAGGTAAGGTAATATCAACTAAATTTTGTTCATTCGGATTGTTTTTCAGAGTGAGGAAAATTATTCTAATACTTTAAATGGATTAATATGGTTAGAAAACAAAGTGAGTGTCTTCTGAAAGATTTGTGAATATTTAAAATTGTAGTACCTGGCAATTCTATACCCAAAAGTTACTGAAATGGATCTATTCATCACTTCATCCAGTCATCTGTATATATTTTTTTTAACTTTTATTTAATGAATATAAATTTCCAAAGTACGACTTATGGATTACAATGGCTTCCCCCCATACCGTCCCTCCCACCCGCAATCTTCTCCTTTCCCACTCCCTCTCCCCTTCCATTCACATCAAGATTCATTTTTGATTCTCTTAATATACAGAAGATCAGCTTAGCATACATTAAGTAAAGATTTCAACAGTTTGCTCCCACACAGAAACATAAAGTGAAAAATAATAGATGATTTTTTAAATGATGATGAAATCAGATCAGACCTATTGTCATGTTTAATCCCAGTGAGGGTCAAGTTGGGAATTGATAATTTCTTTCTTTCTTTCTTTTTTTTTTTTTTTTACAGAAGATCAGTTTAGTATACATTAAGTAAAGAT